TAGCTATTTAGAAATGGAAATTTGTAACCTTGAAGGGCCTCAATTTTTTGTTTGCTTAGAGCCTCCAAATTGGTTGAGCCGTCCCTGTGGCAAACGTAATATATCCTTATAAGCTTCTTCATGATTATAATCTCCTATCATTAGTTATAGTATGGTTAAATAATTTACACAACCTTAGTTCTTTTTTTCAATTATTTGTTTTATCGTTCGTTGTCTCACTAATTGTTATTGCTTGTCGTTATGTCCACAGTAATTATTGATACAAAAGTTTGTCATGTTTTTATTTTAAGTGATAAAAAATAATATATTATATGTAAAGCACAAATAAGTTATAAAAAAGTAATGAAGCTTTTTTTTGTGATAAATAATATACATTCTACGAGTTTAAATTTGATTCAAAAGTGAGATAATTTAACGAGATTTAATGAAAACAGTTTGTAGAAAATAAACCAAAAAAATATTTGGCATTAATAAATATAAAAGGCTTCATTTCCTTATGATAAACTAGTATATATATAATACGAAAATTAGCTCGTGAAAAAAAAACCAACAACACCCTACTTTGGTTAATACCATTTACAAAAACAAAAACAGTAACATTCTACTTTTGGTCAACACCAAAAGTAGCTCTTGAAAAAAAAATACAAATATCAGCATTTTAGTTTAACTTTGTCATGTGTGCCTTAAGCAACATGTCATGTATACATTTTTCTTCTATTGATTATCTTTGTCATGTGTAGCCTTAAGCAACCAAAATATAAATTTACTTTTAGTCCCCTACACCTATATAGTAAATTGTCCAGACTTGATATTATTTGAAAAATACCAAATTGACCCTAAGTTCTTCACCACAGTTCCCTAAAATTGTAACAAATTATGAAAATGAAAATTTTAAACTAAATTACATAAATAAAACCACACTAAACAATAAATCGAAGATCAATCATGGATATTAAAAAAAGTAAATTGGCTAAGATTTCAATAAGGGAGACAAAATAACCTGATCAAATATGTTTTTTTAACGACAAGGATTTTATAAAAACCAAAGGCAGCAGGCAGTTGCACAAAAAAAGTATATACATACAACTGAATAAAAGGCTCTAAGGAGATACAATTTTTAGGAATAATATAACTAAGATAAAATAGCCATTTGTAGATATCACATACAACTGAATAAAAGTAGCAACCAACTTTGGGAGAGCACCAATTGTAGCATCCAACTTTGAATGAACAACTTTTATATCAGTCAAAAGAGTAGCAACCAACTTTAAATGAACATCCAGTTTTGAGAGGGCACATTTTTCAGCCATTATTGATTAGCAGCATCAGGAAAGCTTGTCAACCCTAACTTATGCACCAAAGAGGATTTGTAAAAATATTAAACACCAATATGGCAGAAAATGTGGTAGATCAATTCGCAACTTTCAAAGAAAGAAAAACACCCAGGAACTCCAAGGATTTATCACTCCTAGCAACCTGAATCAAATAAGTGAGTGAAGATGTGTTGCAATCCCCGATTCTATCGACAGGAGTGAATAGACAAATTAAACTTCACATAGATGTTAACAAATGCAATACTCAAAGAATGGACAAATTAACACAATAACAGATTTCAATGCAACAAACTCGAGATATTAACACAATAACAAATTCAATAATCGAGAAATTAAACTTCACAAGAGTAAGAATCTGACCTGATAAAGACTTGTTACAAACTGAACCTACGATTAAGCGGGTATGGTCTACGATTGAAAAGAGATAGCTAATTGAACAAAGATGAGTGACGGGTGAACAACATCGGTTACGACTTTGACGAGAGGGTTACAAGATACAAACTACGAACTCGACTAGTGCTCCAGCTACTTGTAATCGATGCGCTATTTCTCGTTAATCGATAATCTGACAGCGGTGGGAGATCGGAGTTGGAGCCCAAGTGACGATGGTTGTTGACCTACGGTGGTAGACCGATGGCGGTGAAGTCTTACCATGTAATATCAAAAGAGAGCGAGAGAGAGAGAGAGAGAGAGAGAGAGACGAGGCAAATCGATGAGGGTTTGGTGAACATCGTCTTCCACTCTTCCTGAATTGGCGGTAACGACGGAGGTGAGACGTTCCAGCAAGTTGGAGCTTTGGTCGATTAGCGCCAGACTATTCGTGTAAGTTGAATCGATGATGGAGATGACAGATGTGAGAGCAAGAGAACGAACGAGAAAGAGTGAGAGATGACTGATGAGAAAGAGGAATAGGGGAAAGTTAAGAAATAGAGGGAGTTCTAAAATATTTAGGGAAGCGGGAGCATTTGATTTTTTTCGTGAAGTCATTGTTTCGACCAAAATTAAAAAAATAAATAAATAAATAAAACATAAAATAAAATCTCATTTGCATTCTCTTTTTTAAAATAAATTGTATTATTATAATTATATTGATTATTATAATAATAAAAACACTAATCAAAATAAAAATATTAATAATATAAAAGAAAATAATAATAATATAAACATAACAATGTGTATGTATATGTGTATATATGTTCATGTGTGAAAAAACGACGCGGAAAAAACGATGTACGGTTCCCGATTAATCAAACATAAGAAAATGTATGTGTACGTGTGTGAATCTATGAATGTATGTGCGTGTGTGAATCTATGCTACGTGTGAATGTATGTGTATGTGTAAATGTATGTGTACGTATGTGTGTTTTAATGTATGCGTATATGTGTGAACGTATGTGTATGTATATATATATATATATATATATATATATGTGTGTGTGTGTGTGTCTAAGTGTGTCTATGTGTATGTGTGTATAAATGTATTTATGTGTTTGTATATATATATATATATATATATATATATATATATATATATATATGCGCGTAAGTGTGTATATGTGTATGTATGTATATGTATGTGTGTAAGTATGTATGTGTTTAACGGTTATCACATTAAGTCATATGGGTTATGGTTTAAGGGTTATGTCATTAAGTGATATGGGTTAGGGTTTAAGGGTTATAACATTAAGTTGTATGATTTATGGTTTAAGGATTATAGCATTAATTCATATGGGTTAGGGATTAAGGGTTATGGCGTTAAGTTATATGGGTTGGGGTTTAAGGGTTATGACATTAACTCACATGGGTTGGGTTTAAGGGTAATGACATTAAGTCATATGGTTTAGGTTTTAAGGGTTATAACATTAAGTCTTAGGGGTTAGGGCTTAAGGGTTAAGTCACTAAGTAATATGGGCTAGGGTTTAAGTGTTATGATATTAAGTCATACGGGTTAGGGTTTAAGGGTAGTGGAATTAAGTCATATGGGTTAGTGTTTAAGGGTTATGTAATTAAGTCATACGGGTTAGGGTTTAAGGGTAATGACATTAAGTTATTTGTGTTATGGTTTAAGGGTAATGACATTAAGTCATATGGTTTAGGGTTTAAGGGTAATGACATTAAGTCATACGTGTTAGGGTTTAAGTGTAATGACATTAAGTCGTATGGGTTAGGGTTTAAGGGTAATGACATCAAGTCGTATGGGTTAGGGTTTAAGGTTTATAAGACTAAGTCATATGGGTTATGGTTTAAGGGTTATGTCATTAAGTCATATGGGTTAGGGTTTAAGGGTTATAACATTAATTCGTATGATTTAGGGTTTAAGGATTATAACATTTTTTCATATGGGTTAGGGTTTAAGGGTTATGGCGTTAAGTCATATGGGTTGGGGTTTAAGGGTTATGGTATTAACTCACATGGGTTGGGTTTAAGGGTAATGACATTAAGTCATATGGGTTAGGTTTTAAGGGTTATAACATTAAGTCTTAGGGGTTAGGGCTTAAGGGTTAAGTCACTAAGTAATATGGGCTAGGGTTTAAGTGTTATGACATTAAGTCATACGGGTTAGGGTTTAAGGGTAGTGGAATTAAGTCATATGGGTTAGTGTTTAAGGGTTATGTAATTAAGTCATACGGGTTAGGGTTTAAGGGTAATGATATTAAGTTATTTGTGTTATGGTTTAAGGGTAATGACATTAAGTCATATGGTTTAGGGTTTAAGGGTAATGACATTAAGTCATACGTGTTAGGGTTTAAGTGTAATGACATTAAGTCGTATGTGTTAGGGTTTAAGGGTACTGACATCAAGTCGTATGGGTTAGGGTTTAAGGTTTATAAGACTAAGTCATATGGGTTATGGTTTAAGGGTTATGTCATTAAGTCATATGGGTTAGGGTTTAAGGGTTATGACATTAAGTCATATGGGTTAGGGTTTAAGGGTTATGACATCAAGTCGTATGGGTTAGGGTCTAAGGTTTATAACACTAAGTCATATGGGTTAGGGTTTAAGGGTTATGTCTTGAAGTCATATGGGTTAGGGTTTAAGGGTTATGACATTTAGTCATATGGGTTATGGTTTAAGGGTTATTACATCAAGTCGTAGGGGTTAGGGTTTAAGGTTTATAGCACTAAGTCATATGGGTTAGGGTTTAAGGGTTATGTCTTGAAGTCATATGGGTTAGGGTTTAAGGGTTATGACATTAAGTCATATGGGTTAGGGTCTAAGGTTTATAACATTAAGTCAAATGGGTTATGGTTTAAGGGTAATGTAATTAAGTCATATAAGTTAGGGTTTAAGGGTTATGACATCAGGTCAGATAGGTTAGGATGTAAGGGTTATGGTTCTTCTGTTTCTCCGTGTTAAAATATTAACACATATGTAGATTTGAAATTGATGATTATTAATCTTAAGACAAAAATAATAATAAAAAATATTATAAAATAAAATAATGTAATAACTAATTTTTTTTATTAAAAAATAAAGAATATATTTTTCTAAATTTAAGATAGGTAATTTTTTTTTTTTATAGATTTTGATTTTCCCTCTCATATTTCTAATTTATTTGGTGTTCCCTCCTATATTTTTAAAATATTTCAAAATTTTCACAAACCTAGATATCAAATAACCTAATCTTTTGACTCAATCCAAAAAACATATCGCTGACCTAGAAAAATGGCGTTCACGCTTTGCCCCTCACAACCACCTCCTCATCGAAATTCTTTTTCCTCCTGGCAGCCATCTCCGTTCATCTGCTAGAATCTCCGGTTCAATTGAGTTACAAACAAGCTAAAAATCCAACAACCTTACGCATTCATAACCTCTTTTCTCAAATTGACATTCGCCAATGACAATTACAGTCAATTGAACCCCACCATAAGCGACAACGCGTCCACCGCTGCCACCGCCTCCTCCACCACCATCGAAGCCTCTCCGATCACCACCATGGCCGCTAATTGCTTAATCAAAAGCCTAGATATGGTGTCGTTGTCTCCCACCCCCTCCCCCTTCTCTTACCTCTCCGATCTGCAACAATCGTCTCGTCCCTCTGCCGTTGACTACGTTGCTGCCATCTTCTCCGCCCCACCAACCTCATCCAACACTGCTAACGGCGCCAAGCTCCAGTATAGGTAAGGTTTGTTTGTTCCCCCTGAAAATCCATTTTCAGTATATACATCGATTTCCTCTATTTTTTTCCCCTGAATCCAATCCTCACTAAATACATCAACTTTTTCATCTTTTGTTCTCTGAATTCGATTATAAGTTCACATATCGATTTTTCCACTGAATTCGATTCCGGGTGCATATAAGGACCTGTTTTCTTTTTCTGTAATCTAAATGGTGTGATAATGTTGTGATATTTTGAAAAAAATAACGCTTTTTGAAAACAATAATGTTTTCACCTTTGAAGTTATGAAAATAAACACTTTCTTTTCATGTGTATTTGTAGGTTCTGCAACTGATAAGCACACATGAGACTGGGGCTGCCATTACGAAAATCAGATGTATTATATTTATTGAGCTTTTGTTGATCTCAGAACTAAGGTTGATTATTATTATATGATTTGATCAATATAAGATTCTTCTTCCTACTACATTTGTTTCATAGCAAGAGATCCCTTTTAACTTTGAAATCAAAGTTTAGAACCCTAAGCGATATAATGCAGTTTGCAGCTATAAATCAGTTGTTTAACTTCAAGTAGCCAACTTGATTGTGATCGAATATAAAAAAACATAACTTAAATTGATTAGATGTATAGCAGAAAAACCTAATTGAACTTCACCTTTGATGAAATTTTTTACTATTAGTTTCAGTTTTCTGCATTTCAGCCTTTTCAATTGGTTGTTTGACCTTTTTTCCATATGACAATTAAATCTTGAGGTGGATATTCTTGCATATGGAGGTATACTTTACATCACTTATTATATAATCTGTAATGAAGGATATATCATAGATATGATTAAGGTATTGTTTTTGTTACTATGTATTATTTCATACAATCCAGAAAGATACTACATACTGAATTTATCATATCTTATGTATTCTAATCTAATTTATGCTCTGCAGAGGCAATTGGCATCAAGAGATGGAATTTTTCTGTATTTCGTCCCTTTATGCTTTTGCTAAAGCCATTGATTCAATTCATTATACTTCTTTGATGTCTTTTTGTTAAGATAAAAGCCCCCGATGTATTTCTAACGCAAGTGAGCTTCTTCAGCTATTTCATAATTTTTAAATTCTTATTATTCTTTTCGTATCTTTAAAATAATATTCTTATGATTTTACATAATCCACTTTCTTTTCGAACTTTAGTTGCAGTCAAATGGGCTAACTGACTGAGGCGATCATCATTCATAATTGATTGACATATATTTGGCTATACTTTGCTTGCCTTATCTCTCGGAGTCACTTTGTAGCGGTATATCATTGGTAAAAATTTGATTTTTTTTAAAAAACTGATTAACATTATCTTAAAGATTATTTAATATTTATGACATGTTATCAAAAATCTAATTTTTGAATTTTTTTAGGGTGGAATTATATTTTGGGAAGATGGTAAATGGAGCTCTATGTGTCACAAAGGCAATGCAACATGAATTGGATAAAGTTTGGGGAATCAAGTGAGAGGGATAACTTAAAGTCTTAATCTCATAACTGTAAAAGTAGTAGATCATAGAGTGTTAGATTTGTTTCTCGCAAAGCTTTTATTTTGAATTAGGTTACTTTTCATTTCAATGTAATAAATATTTATTGTTTTATTTTATGATATAAATGTTATTTGATTTTTTGTTATTTTTGTTTTTATATATTGCTACAAAATAATTTGTATTTAATTTGTAAATTAATTATCCATTTGTAGCTATAGAATCTTTGCTACGGAAGCATGTCTATGTAATTTGTTATGAAATCTGCTATAGAATGTAGACGATGAATTTTGCTAGGGATTCATCACAATGGATTTAACTAAGGATTCGTCACCACAGATTTTGCTAGGGATTAATCATCACGGATTTTGCTAGGGATTCATCACCAAGAATTTTACTAAGGATTCATGATTTGTAAGACTCGGGATTTTTCCAGGTATTATGAGTATTTGCCTTAATTAATTTATGGGTTGTTTGGTTGGGTTTTGACTTTGGTCCCTTAAGAATGGGCTGAGGAACCTCGTACGCGGGGCGTACATTGCTATGTACGCTCAGCGTACTCAGGAGAAGGAAACGCGGAAGCTATGCACGTACGCCCAGCGTACGAGGAGTACGCCCAGCGTACATGTGCAGATCCTTAAACCCTAAAATTAGAGTTGGCTCCCTATATAAAGAACATAACCCCTGTTGGTTCAGCCTCCCTTCACTCTTACCCAGCCACCACGAAAACCCTAGCTCCCTTTGTGTGCCTTTGTGTTCTAGAAGCCATTTGAGAGTGTTTGTCTGTTGTTTTAGTGAGAAAAGAAGAAATAAGTTTGAAGAAGAAGCAAGGATCCACCAAGAGCTTGTAGATCCAGAGGATTGACACCATTTCTGACTCTTTTGAGGTATCAAGTTCCATACTTGACCATTGTATGCTTAGATTTGTTTATTTGGGGTTTTTATGTCCTTTTTGACCCCATTGTTGGGAGTGCTTGAGTATTGTTGGTTCCAGAGCATAAGAGCTGTCCTTTTGGACTCTTAGAAGCACCTAGGGTCATAAAAATCGGATCTTGGTGGTTAAGCCAAAACCATGCAAGGGTTAGATGGTCTTAAACCTTGTATAATGGACCAAAATCATGTTTTGACCCCAACCATGCATGCAAGCACCTAAAGTTCGTAACTTTATGGCTTGGGAGCCCTTAAAGGACCTGGATCTACATTTTGGACGTAAAGACTTAATGGATTAAGTCAGAAGTGAAGTCCCAAGGAAATTGGGTTGTATGCTAAGCGTAAACCCTGGTACGCTGCGCGTACTGGGTGGTTCACGGTCCGTTACCGTTCACGATCAGTTACCGTTTACGGTCAACCTTCGTTTGAGGCCAAGAGTACGCTGGGCGTACTTGCCAAGTACGCCGCGCGTACGTGTGCAGAATGGCAACCATGGGATTTTGGGCCTTAAGAATCTAGGCTTGGGCTTGGGGCCCTGTGGCCCACAGAGAAGTATAACTTTGGACTTAGAAATATGGAACTAGAGCATTGGGCCTATTGGGCCAATATTGGACCCTTGGAGTTGTTACCTTTGGACTTGGAGCTTTTGGGCCCAATTAGGAGGATGAGGCCCAATTCAGGAATTGAGCAATTAGTGGACCTTAAGGAGTCTTTAATAGGCCATTGGAGGACTGGGCTTAATAGATTAGAATTGGGACTCTTGGATGTCCCAATTGGACCAAGGGGTAACTAAGTTGTGTTATAGACTCTGATCGGGTGTTAATGTGTTTATGTTAGCCGGGAGTCACCAGAGCAGCTGTTAGAGACTACTTTCCGCGAGATTCGACACGCAGTTTTCGAGGTGAGTTACCTTACAGTAGAGGTGGGTCTACGGCCACAATGCCGGCCCAGCAGCAGGGATTGTCTTTAGATGATTGTCTTTGTGATAATTATCTAGGTTTGCTATTACCAGATGTGCTTTATGTGCCAGCATAATATGCTATATGTGATAGTGGTAGTAGGAGGGGAATAGTCTCCCGCCTCGGTCGTTAGGACCGAAGGGTAGGTCCGTACCCTAAGAGTGCTTGACAGCATGATCATGATAGCATGATTATGATTTGCTAGTAGTAGGGGGTGAAATAGACCGGAGGGTAGGTCAGCACCCCAGAACTGCTTGACATGGGTTGGTCAGCACCCCAGAACTGCTTGACATGGGTAGTTCGGGCTCCCCAGAATTGCCCGCCAGTATGTATGTTGTTTGGTATGTGGTATGATGGGGGAACTCACTAAGCTTTGTGTTTACAGTTTTCAGTTTTGGTTTCAGGTACCTCTTCATCTAAGGGGAAGAAGCCGGCAGGGTAGCAGCGCATTACACACACATATGATTTCCGCAATAAGAACCCTGAGATTGTACTCTGACATTTTACTAATTGATATTATGGATTTCGAGACTTGTGATCTGTAACTTGATGTTTTGGAATGATATTAATGATGTTTTCAGTGAACTATTTCTAAAATATTATAATCAAACAAAAAATTTTGGGTCTAAATTTTGGGATGTTACAATTCATGACCATGGATTTTGCTAGGGATTCATGCCTACGAATTTTTCTAGGGATTCATGACCACAGATTTTGCTAGGGATTTATTACCATGGAATTTGCTTTGGATCCACTATAACGGAATTTCTTATGGAAAAACTATTATGGAATTGACAACGGAATCCTATTACGGAATACACGACGTAATACCATCTACAACGGATTTCATTCCGTTGTCACATTTGTGACGGAAGTATCGTTTCCGTTGCAAACCCTCGCTACGGCGTTTTTAGGGACGAAAATGGGCCGTTGCAAATTCCATAGCAAATCATCTTTTGCAACGGAATTTCATCTTTTCGCAACGGATTCCTTCCGTAGCAAAATCGCGTTTTTCTTGTAGTGCAAGTTATTGGAACAATCATGACGATTAACTCAATTATATTATGGTTAACCTATGGATATGGTTGACCTCTAGTTGTACTGTCTACCTCATTAATGGAGTTTTGGGCCACTAATTCTAGCAAAATAGCATGATACAATATACATTATCCGAACCTAATCTTAGATCATGCACTCAGTTACATAAACATAACAAAATCAACATTAATATATATATATGGGTCTTTAATTGACCAAATATAATACATTGAATAACTATAATAACCAAATGTCAATCAACAATAAAACTAGGATTTCATAAATGTCAAATAATCATAAAGAGTTTAATCCCGAATCTTGAAAAGATCATGTAAGAAATCAAATAGTTGACTAATTATAGGCAGAAAAGTAAACAATTTGATAACGTAATGATTTCTTCTTTTGATCTTCATATTTCTGCTTCCGTATCAGCCAGTCGGCTGATACCGTCTAGAGATTCTCAAAACGGCCTTTCTAGGTCGTCTTTTGCACCTCTAGGGTTTTAGAATCATATAAAAGTGTGCAACTCTTTTGTTTTATTTTTCTGGATGAATTCATCTATGTATTTATAGAGATTTGACATTATGCTGCGTGTAGATGAGGATATGCGGCACATGGCACTTAAATTTTCATAACTTCCAATTAAAAACGAGTTTTTCTGATTTTCCGGGACATGTTGGCACATATGTGGCGCATGGAGAAGCCTACACAGGATGTAGATGGTGTTTTAGCATATTCTCAAATCTTTTGCAATCCAGCTCATTGTCAACCTTTTTTTACCTTCTTTTTCTCCAAAGCATCATTTTTAACTACATAATATAAGTAGTAATGAATAAATAGTTGTTACTCTATATTTATTACAAAAACAATCATAAAAGTACCTAAATTATCTATAAAACATTTATCATTTAACACATATCAACATGTTGATGAGTGTTTTTCTAATAAAAAAAAGTCATTATTCTGTAAAATCGGGTAGAACCAAGGTTAACAGTAGAATTAACATTCTGTAGTATAAGAAGCTTTTAGGGAGAACATGAAGAATACTCACTGCAAGAGGTGGGTTGTTGATTTGAATAAATATGCATGTGAAGAACCTTCTCAATGTACTTACATACTTTAGAAATTATGGGAATATGTTACCCATATTAGCAATGTATAATATTTATTTACCATCAAAATGATTATTTGTATTTGACGTATTATATTTTATGGAATGGATTGTGTTTTTTTGTGTATAATATTTTATTTTGTATTATGAGACATTATGTGTGATTTAATTTGAATATTAGTAAATTTAGAATTAATATATGTTTTATAAAATATGTCAAAACTTATGACATACAAAATGTTTGTCAAGAATTTATAAAAATGTCAAAAATATGACATACAAATGGCATTTCATAAGAACTCGATACGGGTTCGTGGAGGGGCGCTTTTGCCTACATGGAGGCACCTTAACGCCGTGGTAACGACTGGAACACCGCCCCAACCTCTAGTTATGAGGCGTGGTGTTATGAAATGTGGTAACGAGCAAGAGAGGCAACACCCAACCAAATCATCATTCGCTCTCTCTCTCTCTCTCTCTCTCTCTCTCTCTCTCTCCATGTTATAACCATGGTTGCAGAAATCGGGATTAATCGGCGATTAATCGTGGATTAATCGTTTGACGTTCTCCAACCGCCGATGATTAGGGTATTAATCGGAAATTTAGGATTAATCCGGTTTGGCGGGATTAATTAGTCTTGGCGGGATTAATCGGTCAACAAAAGTCAACAAAAGTAAAAAAAAGTAAAAAAAACAAGTCAGAAAAAGGTCAAAAAAATTTAAAAAATCAACTTTTTTTTTTACTCCAAAACTTTCAAATTTTCAAAATTTCAAATATTATACCAAAATGTTCATATTTTCGACCAACCGAAGCCATGCAATTTCTTATATTATAAAAGGAGTGCTAGAATGTCTTTTCAATTGTAGGGGCGCGTTAGCGCTAATATAAAGCAAAGGGCTTTTTCAGCTATGTCTTCTTTAAGCGAGCGAATGCTCCGTCGTTGATCCCTCCTCTTCCCGGCCGGTTGTGACTCATATGTTCCCGGCGCAAGTTTGATGTCGGACCAATATTCTCCCTTTTCCTTATCCAGCAGATAGGAGCT